AGTGCTGTAACATCTCCCTGCACCAAATTCATCCTATAAGCTCATACTGTATATAAATAATCGTATAAGTGCAGTGGTGCAATTTGACCAAGGTTCTATCGGCAGACTGGAGCATGGGATCTGGATGCATTCACAATTTTAAGAGTCAAGAAGAACTTGAAATCTATAACAAATACAGCCTATCGTTATAGCATGTTTTGTCTGACATTGCAGATGAAGAGCCTGAGAGTAAATCAGGTCCACATCTTCTCCCTGTCAGAGGACTCAATGAGGTCTTCATTGGCGAGTCTTTGTCTTCAAGGTACAAAAGCAGAAGGCTGTGCTGTCATGTGTATTTGTGAACGTAATCAACATACTGAAATCTTACTCCCGAGTTTCTGCCTGAAGAGTGTAGCTGGTGTCGATTGGTTGTACTCGTATACAGTATATAATCACACACTGTCACACGCTGAACTCGAAGCTAGAAATACCCATTTGGATTTATGCATTGATTTTCCCTTTGAGAGGGGGGGGAAGAAATTTTGCCTTAAGGTTGTTGCATTGTAGAATTAATTAAATCTACCTTTTGCTGCACCTTTTTGATAAATGGGGGAAGCAGTTTGTGGCACTGGTCGTCCAGAGTGCTGTCAAGATATGGGAGGCTGTACATTTTCTTCCCAGTTTATTCAGACTCTGTGATCAGGCTTTTTAAGTTTCTTTAAGGTGAAGAAACTGTATATTTAGCAATGTAGGCTGTTTCTGGTAGTGTATCATTTGGTTTCAGATTGCAGACTAAATTGTTTTTTAGTTGTTTTAACCCCCTATTTTGCTGGTTTCCTCCCCCCTGCCCTGCCTGCCTGATATGCACTTTTTGTCTTGTGCAGGGCGCGCTTTAAATCCTTCAACACGCGTCTCCCATTCTCGCTTCATAGGGCCTCATACTACGAGATCTCTGTGGACGACGGGCCCTGGGAGAAGCAGAAGAGCTCTGGTCTCAACGTGTGCACAGGAACGGGCTCCAAAGCATGGTACACAGACCGTCTCGGCCACAGCTGCGTCTGCTCTTGTGGCAAAGTGCTTAAAGTCTCCCTGTATCGCCGGGGTGGCCAGCCCCAGTGCTGGATCAGCAGTTTCTAAACGCTCATTTTGACCACACGAGCAGGAGATTCGGTCAAGTGAAGCAGTTTAGAGGCCATTTGACGTTAAAGCACCATCATCCTGGTGATATCAAGTAGAGAGTTAGCCATTCCTGACTAATCTGCAGTTGCTGCTGTAGCTGTATTTGGTCAATTTTAAAAAGCAGGCAAAAGATTCGAGAATTGTTTTTATCGTTTGTTTCCCTGTGTGCTATAAAAAGAGGTGGTGTGTGGCTGGGTGAATGCAGACGGCACTGCGCGTGGTTCTCAGTTTAAGTGTTAATGGGTCTCAGGCCGTGTTCTGCCTAGGGGAACTGCGAAATCAATTAAAAACTGCGCTGCCGCTCACCTGTATTGGTACATAATATTTGTTAATCTGTCAGACCTTGTGATTAGTACTGTTCCTGCATGTGTGGTACACAGAACACCCTTTCTCACCAGTCTAATTTCAATCTCTTGTGGAAAAAGAAGGGGTGTCAGTAAAATATTGGGTGAGCACCAGTTATGGGTTCTGAATCCTAACAGGGCGCCACAATGCTCCTCACTTTATTTATGGTTGCTTATTCTCACTGTGTAGTTAATGGCGTGCTTTAAAGGTGATAACTAGTCGTGCATTGAATTTTAATTGCTTATTGCATACTTGTAAAATCTGTAGATGCTAAAGAAATTGTGATACATCTTATTGCTCACAGTTCTTTCAGGACCTCTGCAGCCTGTTGTGTTTGTGTCCCTTCGAAAGGAAATTTGCTGTGTCAGTTTGCTACTATTTTTTCCGTGTAGGTCCTACAACATTAACAAGCTGGTCACACAAGCAGTGGAAGACGTACTGAAAATCGGTAAGCGAAGAGCACACATCTTGTAAAAGAATGCACTGCACTCCTGAGAGTTTGACCAATTAATATCTTATTTTGGATTTAGGTAAGACGCAGATTGGGCTTGACATTCCTTTAAATCGGAACTTCATTGAAAAGGGTAAGTTTACAGACTTGGATAGATGAAAGCTGGCAATGTTAAGTATTTTGCTTTATGTTCACCAGCAGGAAGATGAGAGCAGACTACTGTCCATTTCCTTGTACAGAAAGTCAGCCTCTCAGTTGAAGGATCCCAGCATATGGGTCTTGACAGCGTGGCTTCAGATTTATTTGTGAATCCAAGAGAAATCCATATCAGGAAATCTAAAATTACTAAAAATAATAGTTATTCTTACTGTTACTTTATCTGGTTTCTGCTTGTCCTTACATTCTCACTGCTGGTTTAGATTTGAAATGCCTGCTGTAGAAGGCTTTGAGGAATATTTAATTATGTATTGAGAAGGCAAAAACAAGCCATGTGCGCTTTGGTTTTCTGGGGCTGGAATCTATCAAAGCAGCTAAACGAAAAGGATGTGACACAAACCTGCACACGCCTCAACATTCCCAAATCTAGAGCGTGTTTGAGTCCGTGCTGCAGTGCGATGTTGAGGGTCCGTTGTGCACTGGCAGTGTTGATGAATGTGCTTGCACTCCTGCAGTGACCAGTGAGTACAATGAGTCCCTGACCTTCAGCCCGGAGGAGAGCAGGCTGTTCTTCAGCGTGCGGGAGCCCATCGTGAACAGGGTCTTCTCCAGCAGCTGCCAGCGCGGTTTCACTACGAAGTAAGTGTGTCCGCGCTCTCGCTGGGCCGCTGCCCTGCCGGCCCCTGCCTGCTGCGTGTGTCCTGAAAAGTGCTGTCCGCAGTCGGGCCAGAACTGTGTGTAACTGCTTTGTTGAGCCTGAATTGGGTTCCTCAGCCAGAATGTCAGAGCTGGCTCAATGTTCAGGGATCCAGGAGCTCAGACTTGACTCTAAAATCTTCTTACCTAAGACTGGATATTTTGGCACCTCCCAAGTCTCAAGTATACAGTTCAGAGGCACTCCCCGATAATCTGCCGACTTCTCAGTCCATTTTTCGTCAGGTTTGGGGAAAAATGTGATAAATGACTTCATTTAAACCTGTAGGTACCTTGTCAAGAGCTGCCTGTTACAGGGAAGATATGCTTCTGTCTTTCTCTCTTGAGGGTGTTTTTTTCTGGAGAGGCTCTAGATAAAACACGTCGGAGTGGTCTGTGAGCCGGTGCGACGCTCTCTCTCTCTCTCTCTCTCTCCCCCCCGTTGCTCACGCGCAGGGTGTGCGTGCGCTCCCGCTGCTGGGACGCCTGCATGGTGGTGGACGGCGGCACGTCTTTCGAGTTCAACGACGGGGCGATCGCCACCATCAGCATGGACGCGGACGACGCGCTGCGGACCGTCGTGCTGCGGGACTGAGGGCTGGGGGCCGCAGGGCGATGGGAGCCCTCACACTGCCACCAGGAGGCCGACTCGAGAAGAAAGGGGGTCGGGGGGCCTCCCCTCTTCCCTGCGCACTAGACTGACCGTTACTTCTCGCTCGGTGCTGTGGGCAGATGGGATGGTTTTTTTGCTATTTGAAGCGAGGCGTAGGCTGAGGTAGCTGAGTGCAGAGGAGGTTTAACGTCTGCGATTCTGACGGTGCTACATTTATTTTTCACTCACTTTTTGGATTGTTGCGAACCAATTTTTCTCTGTAGCACCTATTGGGGGGGGGGGGAAACTCGTGCTCCTTTTATATATACAGTATAATGTATATTTTACACCAGATGTGTTCAAACGGTTCTTCAGGCAGAAAGAGGAGACTGAGGCGTAACGGATTCCCTTTTTCTTGCGTTTCAACTCCTTATCCACCTCTAGGTAGGTGTTTATTCATGTTACCGTGTCCTGTATTAGTTCCAGGCCGGCTTCTCTATAAGCTTGAAATTTATTCCTGCAATTTAACATTGCTGCTTTCTGTCTCAGGGTTGTCCACAGTCACTTCTCTTGAGTTTTGTTTTTCTTCTACATCTTTATTCTCCCCTTCAAGCCCAACAAAAAGGAGAAAGGACAATGCCAAAGTCTGCTTTGGCAAAGTCTGAACCAGGCTCCTGATTTCTGGAGGCCCTTTACAGCTGAAGCTGCTCTTTTCTCCCAGTTTCTCAGCTGATGGTACTGCTTCCTCTTTCACGGGCTGACTGAACCTCTCCTCTCCTTCTCTTGAGACCACACTGCTCACTGCTCACTGCCTTGTCCAGTCGGGAGCCAGTTGATCTGTTTCATTCGAATTCTGCCTGAATAATGGTTTGAACACGCTTCTAACAGAATCTGAAAAAGAAAAATGGATTTGGGCTTTTGCCTGAATGTGTACCGTATGCAAACAAGCCTCGTTATCTTTGTAGGCATCAGAATTAATGCAAAAGATTCCGAATATCAACTAATTTAGCTTGCCAGAATATCTGCACTACTGTGACCGTGCCACATTAATTTAGCCCTGTCTGGGTGAGTTGAATTGTAGAGTATTTCACATTCAGAGCATTGGCAGCAGTCTTTGCGGGTGTCTGAGACAGTGCAGCTAATTTCAGAGTCTTAAGTGCCACAGACTGTAAACCCAAGTGGTGAGATCTCGGTGAGGCATGACGGGTCTGGAAAAAAGATTTGGATTTTTCTGCTTGACCAGCATACCTTCCGTTAAGCAGCACCTCAGATTTCCTGTCTTTTTAGCACGGGCAAGTCAACATTTTTATGTATTTTAATATAAGATGAACAGGGGATTTCTCTGGCGTTTTTACAGTCAAACTCGGTTTTAATATTGCAGGTAGTTTGGAAGAAAGGCCCTACTTGCAGTCTCCACCTTCTCTTGCAGCAGGGGAATTGGGTTTGTGGGCAATTCCGTGGTGAATTGTTACCAAAATGGAGGTAGAAAGACTTCTACAGAGTGAGAGAAGGGGACACACAGGGAGTAGATTGCTGTTGGTGCTGCTGCATTTTCATGCCCTCAAGCACTAACCCCTGTGAAGCACAGGGAGGACCTGATCCACAATGCGTCTGCTGTAGGTGACCTTCCAGTAGGGACACCCAGACTGGAGGCAGGGTGGGGCTTGATTTCAGGAACTGCGGGCTCAGATCCATCCCATTTTTGTATGGAGACATTTGTTTTCCCTCGCAGGGCCATTACAGGAGGGCTGTACTGAAAACCCGTTTTAATCCTTCCTTCCTCCTCATGCCATGAGTAACTGGAGTAACCGTGAGAATTCAGAGGGGAACAAGATGTGTAGTAATGAAGCAGTATTCCGTTAGGTCTGCAGGATCTTGTGAGAACTTGCCAGGTCACTCTTAGAACTAGCTTTACTGGGTTTATATTGTATGATAATTGTCAGTATTTTTCTTTTTTAAAGTTATAGGCCAAAGAGAGTTCTGAAATATTAGGTGACGGTGAGTGTGTGATAAGATTCACCAAGAATTCCTTCTTAAAAACTTCTAGTTAAAAAGGAATTCCTTCGTCGTTTCTTAGTAGGTCTGTACACGGGGAGATTCCACTAGGACAGCCATTTTAAATCGCGGCAGGTGAACCATTCCCTGATACAGTGGTTCCCTGGTCTCCCTAAACTAATAGGTTCAGTCTAGTTCTATGTGACAGATTCTTTCAAAGGCTGTTGTTTTATTTAAAATCTTAATGTTCCTGTAAAGTTGAAAAAAGAACGGTGAATATTCTGCTTATTAGCCCAGTAAGAGCACAAAGAAGAAGTATTAAATCTATTGCTTTCTTTGTTGTGAGACCGGGACAAGGGCCAAACTGGCACTAGGTGCAGTACAGGCAGTTTTGTGCTTTAGAAACTGTTATACCCGAATTATGATCCATCAAAAAAGCAACTGTTGCTTTTTGCTAAATACGTAAACTTAAACTTTGCCATTCTCAAGTATTGAAATCCCAGCTGAAATGCAAACCATTTGGCGAGTCTTGTTCAGACTAGGATTACTGACCGCTCATCGGTTTCCAAAGCGCACAGGAAAAACTGATGTTCACCTGCCCTCCTTTGCTTTTTTTAAATAGGCCAGGGTATGTGGATGATTGTATTTTTTCTAACATCCTATCATCAGCTGCTTGAAATTAGGTTCAGGCTGTTTAGGTTCAGGCTGTTTGCTTTTGTGAAAAGTGATGCACAGTCCTCAGCTAATCTTTTTTTTGTCCCTTTCCCAATGGATATCATGGGGCATTCCAAACAGCTCATCCTGTGAAATCTCCCGTCTGCAGTTCAAGACAAGCCCACTGAGGTGAGGTGAGGAGAACCAGAGCACTGTTAGCTAAAACCAGTAGGGTTTCTTTCCCCCAATCGCCACAATCCATCCATTCATTTTCAATCCACTTTATCCAATTCAGGGTGACAGGGAAGCTGGAGCCTTTCCCAGCAATCAACGGGCACAAGGCAGGGCACACACTGTACATATGCCAGTCCATTACAGGGTCCGTCGCCACCAGTCCAATTAAATTGGTAATTATACTAGAAAGTAGAGCTTGTAGGGTGCCAAATGGTGAATGATTGATCGGTGGGTTTAGGTTCAAGCCACGGCTTTTTTAACAGTCGCAAAGAGCTGTTTACAGGGGGCTTCTTCTTGTCTCCGGTGTCCCGTGTACATAAACTGTTTCACAGCTCATAGTTACTGCACCTGTGGTGGTGTTAGAAGATTTTACTTAATTGTCCTTATCAAATGCTGATCAGCCATTGAGGTGCTGTGAGAGCACATGATGATGAATGGGCAGCAGGGCTGTGTTGTACCCCTGTTGAACCCCATTGTGGGTTCAGAGGGCAACACGCTTTGTGTACAACACAACTCCAGTGTCTGGACATGCAGGCCACTTGTTGCACTTGAAAGTGCCTCTTGTTGTTCTTCTCTTTCACTGGTCATGAGGGGATTGGGACAATCTGTAGCCCCGGGGCTGTTGACTAAGGGTGGCGGTGTATTGTACCCATTTCTTTCTGTGTCTTATCCTCATGGGCCACTTTTAAAGGGGACACACTATACCTTCCATCTGAAGAAACCATGTACTTAAAACATGCGTTTTTCCAGTTTAAAATTGGGACAGCGATACAAGTAGGACCCTTGGTAGATTTTTGTGTTAAAAACCCTGGAGTGTAACTAGTGCGCTGATCCAGATTGTTGAGAGACAGACACTGCACTGCTTTCTCAAATGTGCTGCTCCTGTGTCGGTCAACATTTGGGGTTTTACAGAATATTAAATATGCATTTAAGTGAACTTGTGTTGATTGGTATTTGTTCATGAATCTGAGTCAAGGTTTTCTGGTTCCGCATTGCAAAAAAATGTTTCCCAAACAGTGAGGAGGGCTTGGGTGCTGACCTCCTCCCTCCTCCCGTCTTCAGTTGAAGCTCATTTAGCACCTACAATGAGCATTGGAAGGTCTTTGTGAGGTCTGCCCAAACTGGATCAACTATAAAGGAGTTCACCCTAGTACACGTTGAGTTCTGCAATCTGGGGTTCGAGCCCGGGTCATATCACTATCTGACTAGGACCCCATTACTGACAGTAGGGTGGGTTAAGTCATGCAGGGCCGTCTGATTTCTCATTGGCCTCTACGGCTTCCTGGGACACCTCCAAGCAAGTTTAAATAAGACTGGGTGCATCTGGTGTTTCAAAAGGTTTAGCAGAGGATTATCGGTTTCCTGCCAGGACTGCTTTTGGTGGACCAGTAGGTGGCACTCCTCCCTCTGAGGCAGGAATTCCACACCAGTGACCCAGCATGGTCTCAGAGCTCAAGAGACTGGCCCAGCTCACAGAAAGTGCTATTGTACTGATCACTCGCACACACCTCTCTTGGTTTAAGAGCATGCCTGCACACCAGGACTTGAATCTGGACGTAGGGCTGTCTAGGCATCTTGTTAAAGCACCTAGTCTGACAGGACAGGAAAACTGGGCCTGGAATGCTACATTCGTGGCAGCTTTAAAAGATCTTAAACTCTGCCTAGTTGAGCAATTAATTGATCTAATGAAGCCATTCAGATGCTCAACTAGCATGAGAACCAGCGACTGAAGTTCTCTGGGACCAGGGTTACAACCTTGTGCACTTAGGTGTGCAACCAAACCTTTCTCTGTCTGGTACAGAATCTCACAAATGCATTAAAAACATTTAAATTATTTTATTTACAATACAAATTTAAAATGGTAGAAGTAGAACCACACAAATACTGCGTGTCTTTAAGAAAACGAATGACAAATGTAACTGTTAATCTAAGTTGGTTTTAAAAGAAAAGCTGTACACCTTGTTCTTTGGGTTAAAATGTCTAAGGGTTGGTAGAACAGAGTAAAACTTGACCATGTACTACATCTATCCTTCTCAGGACACAAGCGTGCACTTTAAACCAATCTCCTGCCTTGGGGCAGCACGGATGTTGTACTGCAGGTTTGACAAAAAGGCTTATTTTTTCAGAAATGTTTTTAACAGTGTGAACGCAAAAACTGACCAAATCTAAACATTTCACCTGGGACTGCTGTGGAAACAGGGTCAACTCTGCCAACCTGGTTGTTAAAGAAATGACCTCTGCACGACTCTCCCCATGAACCAGCACAGCCAACAGCTTTTCTTGGCATGGCAGCTAACACTAACCTAGTCTGGGAAAGGGTTCCAGGGCACAGCTCAACTTGATATCTCCAGCACTTCAAAACGCAGCATCAAAATACAAGAGGGTGGGAACAGTGATTTTTGTAAGACGTTTTAAGAAACTATGCTGCAAATGAAAATGTACAGCTCTCTTTAAATCTTGAACACCTACTGAACTGGGAAAAAATGATTAATTGGTTTACTTAATGCAATAACCATAAGCAATTAGTGAAATTAATAACAGCAGACTATATGACCTTCCAGGACTGGAGTAGTGTATGCCTGTTGCAGGTTTTTTTTAACTCACAATCTTGCTTTTACACAGGGCTCCCCAATCCTGCTCATGAGATACATAAGGACAGACAGAATTTCTTTTCCTCATCATTTGCAATCACATTATTGTGCATTAAATTGTTTTTTTTTAAATGGTGGCTGAATTTTTAAAATAATTTTAGTTTCTGGTATTGATACAGAAGGCCACCCCAGACATTTCTGAACCAAACACTTCAGGAAGTATTTTTGTCTGTCAAAATAATGAACAAGAGCTCTCTTAATTAATGCGCACTTACGGAGGTTGAGAAAATTCTTAAAACAGTATATTTTGCAAGTACTACAAATACTTGCAAAATACAGCCTTTTGCCCTGCTGAGGAGAGACAGCCTAGTGTTGGGATTCACTCTTCTTCAGACTGGCCATGGCACTGCTGCATGGAAAACAATGAACTGCAACATCGGCCACAGTTAAAGGGAGTTTATTGCTGAAAAATGGATAAAATTGGGGAAAGGCTGAGCTGCATTTCTGGCTGATGCACATTCAACCAATCCTGTATAAAAAACACTGCACAGATCTCTAAAGGGGACTTAGTTAAAAGAACACATCTTAATTATATCTAATCCACATTAAAACACTAGATAAGCCTACTTGTTTCCTTTTACTAAGGGCAGCACATCTTTTTTCGGAATACTAAAATATATTCATTTTCCATTTGCGCTTCCATATGTAATCCTGATGGTCCTGCATAAAATAAAAAGGAAAAACATCAAAATCCAACTTGCCCGTCCACATTCTGACAGCGAGCCACTGCCCTAGTTAACCCAGCCAACAGGTCCAGCAGTGGGGAAATCACAATCTTCCTTACAAACCCAGTACAGCAAACAACACAATTCATAATGGGAACAAAGGGACTGAGATTTTCCAGCCTGAGCTTGAGCACTGGGTTATGCAAAGTTACACGTCCACGTGCTGTAACAAGTGGCTGATTTTCACCAAGGTGTCTGCCTGAGGCTTTCCATGCTTGCAGTCTGGGACAACGTGGGACAATGTGTCAGCTGTACAAACATCGGGGCAAATGAGACTGATCTCACCACTTCAAGCATTTACATCAGGAACCAAAAGGGTACAGGATTTCTCTACTCAGGTAGTCAGGGGCTGGAGCTGGGCATCACTGGTCTACCCCACGGGCAGGGGGAACGTTTGAAAGAGACGAACGTGGCACTTCTCCGGTGAGAAAGAAGGATGCACCCCAGTTTACTCTGGGAGTCGGTCTCGGGTCCCTGCCCACCACGGACGCTCGCTCCTCCTCCGGTCGCCGGGAACTGCAGTCTTTGCCCCTACAGGCCTGGTGGCTGCCTGTAGGCCAGCTGGCAGCGGAGACCCCACAGGGCCCGGTCCCTCCTGCCCGCCGGGGTGGGCCGGCTGATGGCGGTGAAGCAGCAGCTGTTGACCTTGATGTGTGGGAGGCCCTTCTTCAGGATGGGCAGGTAGGCGTCCTGCACGATGCCGAACACCTCCAGGGTCTTCAAGCCAGGGAACTTCTCCAGCTCGCTGCGGAAGGAGACGGGCAGGGCAGGGAAGGGCACGGTCAGGGAGAAACAAGTACAACCGCGAGGGCGTTTTCAACAGGTACTGTAGACTATCGGTTTTAACAGTGCATTGCGTGAGGAAACGCGCAAGTTTCTTTTGACTCCTTGAATCAAAATGCCTTCAGTTACTGTGGCATCTGTACTGCTATTTAAATACTGACTGTTAAATTCGGTTTAAGTTGCAGATAATAAATGCACTGTTCTAGGTTAAATGGCAATTTGGCTTTTGAGCAGCCACGTGTTTAAAAGGACTGCCCTGGTGTACTGGATCACAGGCTGCCTGGAGCTACAGTACCGTTCGGCGATAAGGGTGTGACTGGGAATAGCTTCACCTTTGGAAGAGATGAACATTTCTCCCATAATGTTTAATTCAGTTGATATGGCTACATCCTCTCATCAAAACTCAAGATTCGGGGCAAAAGTAAAAAGCTGGCCATCTCAACAATCATGAAGATGCATGTTTAATAGCTCTCCGAATCGGACGGCCTCAGTGGGAGGCAGAAGCACCTAATTCACAGAGCAGAATATAGCAGCAGCACAGAATACTGGGACTTCAAGATCAACCCCCACAGCTGGGCGGCCCCGCTATTACACACACGCCAAATTTATCTGCTGTGTGTGTCAAAAGCAGCACGCAGTGGATGTGCTGGACTTCTCTTTAGCTTTAAATCCCAGTCTGCCTCCTTGTGCGACACTTACAGACACAAGAACAACCCAAGCTGTCCTGCACTAAGAGGACGAGCTGAAAGGCCTGCGGCGCGGTGCGGACAGGGCTCGCGCCAGAGGCAGGTACTCACACCAGCGCAGCCGGGTGGATCTGATAGCAGCGGCTCAGCGCCAGGTGCTGGAGAGCTGGGAGCTGCTGGAAATACTGGAAGACGTCGGGCGTCAGCAGGACGCTGTCGCTGGAAGGGAAGGACAGGCAGCTGCGTCAGCGGCATGAAGGGGAAAGAAGGAGACTATCCCTGTGACCCCAGGAGCGACCCGCCCGAGGCCTGCCACCGGCCTGCTGTGGCTCCCACCCTGCTTGTGTAGCGGAGCTGGTTTGGGCACGGTGACATCATCGCCCTTCCCTGCGCGTAGCAGGGACCTCAGCCAAAGGAGCTCCTCAGCTAAAGGAGGTCTCCTTTAACTCACTCGGCTGGTTCCCTGTTGTGTTGCGCTGGAGACATGGGTTTGCGCCCAGGGATCGGCGCTCATGATGTTTGTGTGGAGCGGTGGTGGGTTTCAATCAGCTGCGGCCCGAGGAACCGTTTTCAAGAGACCCTCCCCGTTAAGGACCCCCCCTCCGCCCCTGTTGACACTGCACATCAGTTATCACCAGTTTCAAATCATTAAAATCTCCCCGAAGTGCTACGAGAACACATCTCCTGCGCGGACTACAGAGGTGACAAGTATCCCTCGTATCTGGTAACCCCTGGAAAGCGACTGAGGACGACCACACGCTGCAGAACATTCCTGGATTACATAAACAGGTTTGGTCTCTCTTTTAAGTGAAGCAAAAGATTCATAATGCTGTCACCCTCCCTTTATTGATCCTTTCTAAAGGAGGCATGGATGGGAAAGAACTGGGACTTTCCTCATTTCCAGCTTCCACAATACAATCAGCCCTGTGACGCTAAGCAAGAGATTCAGCAGACAGGTCAGCCCAAAAACGGGAGGCTGAGGTGACACCTGCCATCGCCGTACAGCTGAGCTCTCACCTCAGGTCCAGGTCCGTGAGGTTCGGACACCTTCCCAGCAGGACTTTCACATCTAGCGGAACAAAAGCAAAGAGTCTGCAAGTCAGGAGACGTGACAAACAGTGAAGCTCAGCTCTTTGTATACTTCAGTTATTAATGTTGAGGAAACAAAAGGTTCATGAACCAACTTAGTGGCCAAGTTAAAGTAAAGTCATAGATTCCAGAAATCCAAAGCAGGGAGTTTTGTCACTAAAGTCTGTGCAGAAATAGTAAGGAAGAAACAACCTTTTGGCTCACGAGATTCTAGCAGGAGCACAGGGCCAGAAACACAGACCAGAAGGCACAGTTTAAACGTACATGGAAGTGTAACTTCCAGAACTGAGAACAGGAGGAGCTTCTTTGCATAAATGGCGGTGGGGGTGTGGAACAAGATGACCAGTCATGTCACTGAAGTCGATACCCTAGATTCTTTCAAGAAACAAATGGATGAGATCTTCCTCGGATCAATTAGCTTCTGAATGGCCTCCTCTCGCTTGTAATCCTGTTTTGGGTTCTTCTGCCCATTTTCACTCACTGCTTACCGTCCATTTGCAAGTTGTGCCTGTAACCACTGAGGTTCAGTCGTGTGACGCTGGCAGGGATTGCGGTGACCAAGGTTTTTATGTGCTCATTGCTGAAGTCAGGACACCAGGAGGCATTCAGCTCTTCAAGCCTGCACGTACAACAAGCACATAACAAGCAGTTCTTAGTGTTAGTGGGAAAACCATAGGGCTCGGGTAATTCGGAGAAATGAGCTTGAGCCAATTCCTGGAAGAATTGACAAGGCAATATCACATTAAACACTCTGACACTGCATTAGAAAATGTCACATAATTATAAATGAAAAAACACAAGCAACTGTCCTTGAGTTAAAAGGTAAGGCTCTGAACTCCCAAAAAGATTTGAGAGTTCAAAACCGACAATCCTTTTCAAGGTGTCCTTGAACCACCGAGTTGAGGGTTCAAATTCGACACCTTACATGAACCAGGATTTGAATCCAATGCCGGGTTTGCCCCCTTAACCCACAGATTTGAGGGTTCAAATCCGACACTGATATTGCATCCTCAACCCACAGAATGGAGGGTTTGAATTTAAAACTGGGATTGCATCCTTAACCCACAGATTTGAGAGTTTGAATCTTACATCGGGGGGGCCTGCGCCCTCAGCCCACTGAATGATAGTGGAACCAGGTTGAGGTCTAGTTTGGGCTTCCCTTCCCGAGAGCGAACATCATTTTGTACCTGCCGAGTCCCAGACGGTCTCACCTTGTGCAGCCTTCAAGCACCTCTCCCAGGGCCTGGCTCGAGAATGCCGAGCAGCCGGACATGTTCAGCCGCACCAGCTCCGGGTTCTGGGATAACGATCTGCAGGAAAGGGGGAGCAAAATGACTCGGGCACATTTGGGCATTTCAGTTAATTGTCACTTCTTCCAAACTCCACAGGTTCTTTAGGGTAACATTATACACATATATACACATAATAAACTCCATTATACACAAACAGGCCCACACTTAGGTGTGGGGGATGGACAAGACGAAAAAACAAATTCCTTGCTGGGTCTTGCAGGCTGTAATTCGTTACAATCCCAAACGCACTCACTGAAGGATGTGATCAGAGAGACCCAGCCCTTCCAAACTCAGGTTCTGGAGCCGACAGCAGCGCCTCAGGATTTCTTCCAGCGCAGCGCTGCTCACTGTGCAGTTGGACAAGTCCAAGTGCTGGACACGCAGGGGCCTGCAAAGACCACACAAGAGACACCGTCCAGCAAGCGTGAGCCAGCAGTGTGGAGCAGAGGTTAGAGGTCACGACTCGAATCCCAGCTGAGACACTGCTGTCTTTTTGAGCTGCTCCAGTAAAATACCCAGCAGTACACAGCAGAGGGGTGAAAATGTAAGTTGTTCTGGATAAAAGTGTCAGTAAAATAAATCTCCAAAGCGAAGCATGTTAAATAAAGCACAAGTACGGGGCAAAATATTTCTGCACATGGTCAAAAATACACCTAGATTTTAAAAGCAATAGAGCAATATTAATAACCATTATTTTACAGATTCTCAAAGCACTTTACAGGAAAAAAGTATACTTAATTTTATAATGAAAAAGTATAATAGTTTACAGATGTTTTAAAGAAACCGAATGGTGTGAATGGTTTTAATACAGACGCATTAGCACATTCTCTTATCATCAGTACACAACGGTAAAGACTACAGCAACCTCAGCAAACTGTGTGTTTCTGTTAAGATTTCAAAAAAAGTGTCCCTCAAGTGAAAAATGTCTAGAATACACAATGTTTAAATCAAAGAATCAGCTTCACAGATTTGAAAGAAAAATGGTCACTAAATTTTAATATAAAAAAGACACTACAATTTTATGGTTTACTGATACACTACAGTAAAAGATAGAGTACTGTAATAAGAAGTAGGTTTGAAATGCGTTTTTTTTTAGTTATAATTGTTTGACACTGCCACCTGGAGCACAGCAACATATGAATTCGTAGATTTGTGCAAGCAAACCGTTACACTGTAGCTAGACTGGACTCCTCTGCTTTTTTGTTGGGAGCTCCACAGAACTGAAAAATCTCATTAAGCAAATCAGGAAGCAGACATAAGGACACCCTAAGGTTCTACAGTCAAAACCCCTACCCTGAAAAACGTCCATCAGCTTGGCAGAGACTGGGGGACAGAGGCAGGCATTTACCAAAAGCAGACACACAGCTGCATGCCTCACACGTTTAAAGAACTGCGTCCTCCAGCAGGGGTACGTGGGGAACGCGGAAGCCTGTGCTGGGGTACTGCAGCGGCAGGGCCAGGGAGAGAGTGGGTCCGACTCACTTTGTGTCAGGAAACGAGGGCTGTCCTATGAAGGTCCGTGGACAGCGCAGGGCTACCGCTCCCGTGGTCAGAACCTGGCTGAGTGCGCGGTCCAGCTGGGCCTTGCCCTCCAGGTCCACACTGAACCACAGAGACTCGTCAAACCTGAAAGGAACACAGCCGATACCTTAGCCGATCATTGGCCTCTGGTTCCCATTAATTCTCATCCCGCATTTCACCATTCTGTTATTATTTCAGTAACTGGGAAGATCAAACGCTTCTGTCGAGGTCTGAGAAGGTTTCATTGAGACTGTACCTCTCACCAAGCGCGTCTTTTAAAGCTTCAAGGGTAACACTTCAAGGGTAGTGACTGGATCAGCAAAGATAATCCGGGATGATGTGCTGCAGTGAACCCCCGGAAAACCCCATGGCATTCTGGCGAATGAGTCTAACACCCCCACGCAGTGGAGAGACCCCAGTGTCATGCAGCCCCCCCACCCCCGTACTCCTGGAGCCCTTGGTCCCGGGTTCGAGCAGAGCAGGACTTACGCCAGGCGATGCCAGCGCTTGCACACGCGGGAGGCCCGCAGCAGGTCCCGCAGAGGGAGGCTGTGAAATATTCCCAGCAGGAGCTCGTCTGGCAGGCTGTCCCAGGAGAACCCTGTCGGAGCAAAGAAGGGGGGTTAAACTTGCTGAAGCTGAAAAGCCAGTTCCCAGGTAGCCATTTCGTGCTTGCATTCCAGGTCCCATTCCTCCCACTCCCAGTTGCTAATGACTGACGAGGTAGGGGAGATAACACTACCAAGGTTCCTTCACCAGCCACAGAAGGATCATGCAAAGTAGGATCCATCAAAATGAGTTTTTTTTCCTTTTCCTGCTTCCTTTTTGGCGTTTAAGATACCTAGAGACCACAGTGAGGAAAAACTAAATACAGGCCTGTCATTCTGAGTGGCCTAATTTCTCTCCTCTTCCCTCTCCCACAGACACTACCCCTGACCCTACCTGCCCAGATTCTCTCCCCTTCTCTTTCCCGCTAACCCTACCTGTCTGTTCCTTCTTCCTCCAAGGCCTCCTGGCCAAGACAAACACGGCCTCTTCATTCTCCTTCCCCCGGCTTATCCTCTGCTGTTTGCGAGGAGGGGACCAGCTGTGAATGAGGTCCTGAGGGGTGTTCTCATTGTCCATATCCGACTGGACCCCCTTCTTCCCCCCCTGCGATGTGGACAGTGTCCAGTCTGGCAGATTCCCACTCATGGAAGGCAGCTCCTGGAGGTGTCTTCTGCAACATCAACGAGGGAGAAAAACAAGCTAGGAAACTTTTTTTTAAAAATCTAAATCGGGATCACATGTTGAAAGAAAAAGCCTTTTGAGGAGTACAATAATGGCATTCCCAAGCACCCAAAGCGATGTCGTCAACAGTGTCGTTCTCTTCCATGCTCTCTTTGAGTGGAAGCAGTCAAACCTCGATCTAGACTCTGGACACGGACATCCCACCCACATTTTCATCTACCATCAGACTAACGAAATCTGTCATCCTCCAGCCAGCCCACAAAATACAGTACACAGAGGACTCACGGGCAGCAGGCTTCTGTGGGTTTTAGGTACTGTTCACTTTTGCGCACTACTGTGCACACTGTGCACAGCAAAAAACTGGAATGAGCTACGGATCCAAAGTTCAAAACAATAAATCGAATGGCAAAATACGCCAACGCACACCAGCACGCAATATTTGCCAACAAACGTACCTACAGAATGTTGTGGCAGAATTCTGAACCTTTGCTCAAATGTATAATGAACATTCACCCACTGGTACAAAGGGTTTTGAGAAAATTCATATTTTAGTCCACTAGCAAGCCTGTTATATTCACTAACAACATCCTATTGCAGCGATCTCCAGCCCTGATCCTGAAGAGCAAAAGTCTACAGTGTTTTTATCCAGCCTTTAAATCATCTGTTACTAAAGGAACCATGATCAGTAAGACGGGTTCAATTAAGAGTTTTTAAGACATCATTTGGAACAATAATCAATATTCTGCAGCCCTCCAGGACCAGTGTTCCCTCTATTTGAACATTACTTGCTTAATTGTTCCAATGCTTAAAGAAGTGGTCCCAATCTTTAAATAACAGACAATTAAGTATGACATATAAGAATAACTAGACTGGGGCTTTTAAGGGCTGGGAATGGAGACCTAACATACCAACTGTTAAAACACACCAAAACCTCCTTCACTACTCATGTAGCTCCACATGACAAAATCAGACCTATCCACAACATGCAGATAAGCCAACATTTCACAGATTTCCACGTACTTGCAGCATTTTCCACTTTCTGATCTAATTCAGCTGACACCTTTCAACCATCCAACCATTTTCGAAACTGTTTTATGCAATACAGGGTCAGCAAGCAACAGGCACTACGCGGGGTACACCATGAAACACACTCAGAATTGTTTTTGCATTGCAACAATAATTGTTCTAATCATTCCTTCTGATTATATAGCGCCTTTCACCCCGCTGGATCCTAAAGCGCTTCACATCCAGGATGTGACCCACTCCTCCACCACTGAACATGCGGCTACCACCACGTGCCAGCCGCCTCACAACACAGCAAGCCGAGTTCAGAACAGAACTTCAGGTAGATCAAACATTAACTAAAAACCCGGAATGTAATTTAAGTAGAACTAACATCCCTACTCTCACCAGTACTAAGGGATCACAGTCAGGACCTAGATTTACCGTCTCTTCGGCACTAACTACGAGTCCCTAGTCATTGCATATATGGTAGGACCGATGTTCGCAAATGAAAAATATAGGTACATATAAAAAGGTATTTTTAATTAACATCAGTGACTTATAGTACTGTGTAGCCCGCCTTAATACAAAGCGTCATCGCTTACCCCACATTGCCTTGCTACATATAAAAAACTATTTCCCAAATCCCATGCATAAACAACCATTTATTACACAGATGTCATTTTACCTTGCAACACATCAATTGCGTATTGTGAATTAATTGCATTCTTTCACTTGTCTTTTGTTCGGGCCGACTCACCCTAAGCTGAGAGCGCGCGCTTGCGCGACGACCGTAAAGCAAAGTGCTGCCAAGAGCCGGCGACCCAGTGATGCCGGCAGGAGAAAAAAATAACAGATCTCGTTTTCGATCGACCATCAATGTGTATGCTCCGCTCACTTGAGTGCAATATGAAATCAACTTGAAAAACAGCAGCCGTAACCCCTACTGCGTCGCAAACTTGAATTGGACAGGCATATCGGCAAAGCAGCATGTACTGCAAAACACGTTCGTTTTACTGCATCGACGCAGATTTTCTGCATTTCATGCAATGATTTACATTCAACCAGTATATATCATATAAGCTTCTAGCCTTGAGCAGTCCTGTTTATTTCCCATGTCTCAGGCAATCATAATCATCACTCATCTCACACCACGTCTACTTTCTTAATAATATGCTGCCCAAAACGAACACGCAAAATCCTTCTAGGGAACCAGGATCTCCCGTTTACCTTTCTTTAGACATGTTCCCTTTGTGTCCGTCAGATTTATCAGAATTCTCAATATTGTTTCCACGCACAAGCAAGCGGGATTAATTTTAAACCTCCCGCTTGGTTGCCCGCCTTCGTGCTTGTAATACTGAGCGCTTTGGGAAAACGAGGAAGGAAGTGACTCGTGATTGGTTGTTTTCGCACGTCTGCACGCTGCGAAAACAAGGTGACGTCTGGCTGCGCATTCTGCGCTCAGTGTTGCACAAACTGTAGCTCACGCCTTCGCGCAATTCGCTGTTTGACTCCCATAGTGAGCCTGAGATGATATAGATATAATTATATCAATAGTGAGCCAATATCAATATAGTGAGCCTGAGATGATATTGGGATAATGATATTATACAGTAGGTTATAGAATATATCTAATGCACTGTGTTATATGCATTATCTAATAAAAGTTATAATTTAATGTTTTTTGACGTCGTCCTTTGTGATAGTTTTTTTTAGATAAACAAATGCACATTTCACTAAGAAACATTTTCTCCGCCTCGTCGGAGAACATGCTTGTTTTTTTTTTAATCGTGGTTAGTTTTCGCTGTCCCGGCGGCTCACTCTGACGTCACACGCAGGATCCCCACAGCCGGCTGCGCTGGCTGCCCGCGCGGCTCTAGATGTGCCTGTGCGCTGCCTCTGTCATCTCACGGTTCGTGTCTGTATTGCATCGTCCGTCTACCTTTTGTATTTTGTAAGAACATATAATGCATTGGTATTTTATGTTGTATTATTTTCCTATATGATTTTTTAATGTATATTATTACAATCTGTATAAAGCTGCCATTTGTTGTTCATCGCTTTCAGTTGAAATAATAAAGGAAAAAGAACTCATTTAATTAATAGTCATATTACACAAGTGTGGTCGAATTAGGACCATAATGGTTTAGGCAAGTTGCATTTCAGTAGTGGATAAAGTGTTTTTTCCTCCCAAATATACATATGAATGGTGTTTATAGAGGCAATGTATTAATAATTTTAATCTAAAACCATATTAAAACTATTGACAAAGTTTGTGTAACTTTAAAGTACACTGGCATATCATGTACAACGATTATTATGAAGAACGCACAAGAAATTGTCTTTAAAACCGGAGGCACTTCTATACAAGAAGGATGGAGAGTGGAACAAGCTACTTCGCCATGCTTTTGAAGCCGATACACATGTCTTCTTTGAAATAAAAATGTCTAAATAAGAACCTCGGATCAATTAAGAACAAGCACTCAAACAGGCCAGAGGGGCAGAATAGCACAGGACCTTTGCTATATGCTGTTGTTTTACACTCCTTGAACCGTAACAGGAAAATACGTATGCCGAATTCTCAGACTGGCGCTCGCAACTGTCGCCGGTCTATGACGTAAAATAGCGACCGTTTTACAATGGATTATAGGAAATGTAGTTTGTCTGCCACTTTCCCTTCGAAATAACACTCAGGGCAGACTACAATGACTCCATCTCCTATAATGCTCTTTCACGTTTGCACAAGGTAGGAAGCGAACAGGATGTGACGTTGATGCTTTATGGTACACGCATATCTGAGAATTGGTGCAATATAGTAATTCTGTCTTATACAAGGGAGTGTTGGGAGCCGGGTTCCGGGAGATTTTTGTTAAGGATACGAGCCATTGGAGGTAAGGGACTGTTTTTTTTCATTAGCGACATGGTAAATTACTCTGCGGATCATTTGAAAGTAGGTTACCATTAAAAGGTCAAGAAAAATATAAAAAATACCGTTCTTTCGCTGTAGAAGGTAGGTGCCCAATGAATTGTTTTATAACAATTATAACCGTGCCATCGCTTCGGCAGATGCCCAGTAAAATAAGGAGAAATGAGGCGCTTTGTAATGTGCTGATCCTCGCCAGCATTTGTTATGGTAACGCATAGAAACAAGCAGCCGTGTATAAGGGGAACTGAAGTTTCCAGTGTTCGGCTTTTTCACTGTGCTGTTTCTTGCTTGCCCGTTAGTCTGTGCCGGTGTGTAACTCCACGGAGCACAGCTTGTGAAACCGCACGTCTTCTGGTCTGCTTTCAAAGATCTTACTATGACGATTTGTTTTTGAGAGTTGGAGGTTTGAGAATTTTGGTCACTGAGCCGGCAGCGCCGCTAACGGGAAGAGCAGATGACAGCTGCACGAAAGTAAACGGTAGGGTCGGGGGCATTTCGTCAGAAAGACAGCTCCAGGCCGCTGCTGTGAAAGCCTGTGCTGTCAGGTATGACGTGCGCACACGGAGTTCAGAATGGGTGTGTATACGCTGGCTTTTCCCTTTTCTCTTGTTGCTATGTGCTCGTCCTTTCACATTCTTCATTGTTTTTAACAGCATATACTTTCTGTTGTGCGAGAGTCACAGGATCAACCGGAATCTGACCTTGCCCCGTCTCATGCTTACTGTGAATGGACTCTTCCATACGGGAAGGAGAGACATGCTTAAATGTTGTAAACCCACTTTTTATTCACATTTAGAACACATTGCCTTTCACTAATTGAATTCTATGAAATATTTCATTTATTCGGATGAGCCATTTCGACGGTAAAGGCAATACTCAACAAACCCAGTTCATTTGCTTTACAGCAGCAAAGGTTGATTGGAAATACAGGACATGCTTGATATTTATTCATGCTATACAGTGTCATGTGTGGAAATATTTTTAGTTTGTGAACAAACAGGTGAAAAGTGAAGAGGAGAAATGGGAGAATCATTTGAAGGTGAAGGGAGAAGGATCTTGGAAGCTAACATAATCATGTCCCAGAAGAGAGAGAGCCCTTCTCGGTAAAGGAATGTAGCGATATCAATAGACAGATAATAGAAATTGTGCTGCCTTTTTTTTTTCTGGGAATGAAGTTTAGAAGCCTGTGGTTGTTTCAGATGACTCCTGTCATGTGGCTCGGGGAGTGTCTGAAGGTCTGGGGCTGTGTGGACAGCTGAAAGATAAAGGAGTCTCCAAGTAGTTCACAGCATGTGTCACATGCTCTAAAGAAGAGGTCCCAGGTGGGCGCTGTGTGGAGTAACCTGGAAGCAATCGAAATCTTCCCTTTGGCCATACTTTATGTGTGCTTTTGTCTTCAAATTTCTTAAGTGGAAAGTACCTTAATCTTCTGTTTCGGGGAAAAAGAGAACAGTTAGACTAACAGTCAACGACTGTGCTGGCCTTACAAGCCCATCTGTGTGCTGCTTTTTCACCCGGATTCTCTCGTGTGGCTCATGCTTTACTTCGAAAGTGGGGAAATTGACAATATGTAGTTCAAGGAAGTAGCTGCGTCAGCATGAGTCGGCTGCAAAGGAACACGTGAAGGTTTAAAAGGAACAAGTAAAGGTTTATTCCGTGCTGAAAAGAGAAGAAAGGAAACGCAACGTGTTTTTTTTTCGGGTGTCCTGCGTGGAAATGACTATGTGTGCCAGCAGGGGGCGGATTCTTTCACTCGCCATCGGGGAGAACAGCTGGACCTGCAGTGAAAGAAGTGACGTGAGCAGAAGGCCAGGCGACGTCCCCCATCAGCTGGGATGAGAATAGAGGTTCAGTGGTGAACCTCTACTCCTGTGACCTGTGAACCTGTGACCTGTGAATTGCCATGGAATGGCAGGGAGTGTGATAGTGTCCTTTGGAGAAGGGCGGGAGTACGGGGTGGATTGTGTCCTGTAGCTGTGCCTTTCTCAGCTTCTCGCAAGGACTGCTTGCTTGTTTTCTGTTGGCATAATTTTGTGGGGGTGGGGGTAAGCAGAATGAAATTGTGCAGGTGCCTCACCCACCCCTGCACCACCCTGCCACTGGGCATCGCCACTGGCAACTTCAGCCCAGGGAGGGGTGGAGAGGGCGCCGATGGGACACAGATGACAGCTGTCATCATTTCATCATCAAACCAGTAGCATCACCACTCTATTCCCTCGCCAGTCTTCACTTGAGTAGCTCATTAATCATTTAAGTGATATTCAGCTGCAGCTCTTTCCGCAGAGAGCTGTCTCCAATTTAACCAGCACCAAAACATTAATACATTATAAGTAATGTTATTGTTATTCCTTTATATTTCATGCGTATGTATTTTGCATTATATTGATGTGCTTGTTGTTACGGTTGAAATATCTCATTATTTGTAGTGGCTTCTTTAATAAAATGCTCTCAGATTTATTGTGTGAAAAGGCGGCTTGTGCCATTTTATAAAATGGTTACTTATTTTAAACACTCGCTTAAAAGATTGTTGCCCGTGTGGCCGAATTGGTATCCATAGATATCCAAACTTAGCCAGAAATGTAGATTGGAAATATCTTTTAGAGTGACCATTGTATCCCTTTCTGAGTCTGGGGACACCAAGGATGTTTGGGTCAACATACTGAGCAATTGGACCTCCTTGTATCTTTGCATGTATGTACACAATGTGAGAAGGAGATACTTGAATGCAGCAAATGGTAGAAAGTCTTCCAGCTGGATGGGAATTTCTTCCTTTTTAATTTGCTGGGCAGTGCATGCTATAAACCCCGAGTGTTTGCAAGTGGAAATCTACTCCAGTTCAGTGAACAGAAGATTCCCTCCTCTGCTGATGGCTATTGTGTGTAGCATTGTGCTGTTGGGAAGCGGTACTCTGCATTATTTATTCGAAACCAGGAAACACTGTTTTCCAGTGAAGGGGTGCTTGAATAGAGGGGAAACAATGACACCCGCTTGGAAAGCAAACATTAATGTTGGTTTCATGTCCCTGTTGCCCAGTCTTACTGACAGCTGTAGAGAGCTGAGTAAGAAGGACAGGCATTAACCTTCTCTCACTTTGAGAAGGTTAAAAAAAGCCCTTACAGGGAAAGAATGACCCTTTTTTGTCGAATTTGTATAAGAATCATCTGTAAAATGAAGGCTTAGCGAAGGCATCGGAGCTGGTTAGGAGAGATTGATAGATTAACAGTGTACACAGGTTCTGCTATTTGAAGAATACTTACAGGGTGACCTGTAAGTCAACATTATGCCATCTTTTATGTCATTTGCCATGTAAGTAAATACACACAGATAAGCGTTTCATTTAATTTCATTTTCATTTCATCAAAGCGCTTTGAGAAGCCACCTTTAAAGGCGCTATATAACATAAAGTGTATTATTATTTTTCTACGGCACATAACTTGAACTTGATCAGTCAGTCAAAAAACGATCAAACTTGATAAAAAAACTGTGCTTTTGTTAATGAACTCATTTGGGATGAATACGATTGATGATTGCATTGTGAATGGCATAAAACAGCATTGCAGGGCGGATTTGGCCCTGAACCCTCACAGAGCGGCGGTGTAATCAGGATCTTTCCCTCCAGGCACATTATGAGCTGCTGGCCGTGACTCGGGAACACGTGGACTGGCCGTGAGCAACCATGAGCGGGGCTGCTCTGGGGATTGAGATCGTCGTGGTGTTCTTCCTGGCGCTCTTCCTGCTCCACCGGTATGGCGACTTCAGGAAGCAGCAGAAGATGGTGCTGTTTGGCACGCTGCTGGCCTGGTACCTCTGCTTCCTCATCGTCTTCATCCTGCCGCTAGACGTCAGCACGGTGAGAACATTTCCGCGTCTCCTCTTCCGCCGCCCGCTCAGCTGGCGCTAGGGCTCTCACGCCAGCGCACACGTGTCCCCACGTGTCTCCTTGGCGCCAGGTGTGTTGTCCTTTGCATTTTGTGGGTCGCTGTCCTCTGTCATTTTCACGAGATAGGCGGAAAATGGCTGCCTTTCAAAAGTAAAAGATCAGGTGGAACTAAAAAGGTATTCTTGAAAGCCACAGTTGTCCTCGTGTCATACTAGTGCAGCATTTACCAAGTTCCTTTTGCACTGTTTATAAAAACAGTAACCCTACACAGTAATAAGAAAGTGTAGCAATTTGGCCAATTGAGTCAGAGGATATTTTAATAATAATAATAATAATAATAATTGCTTACACTTACATAGTGCTTTTCTGGACACTCCACTCAAAGCGCTTTACAGGTAATGGGGACTCCCCTCCACCACCACCAATGTGCAGCCCCACCTGGATGATGCGACAGCAGCCATAGTGCGCCAGAACGCTCACCACACATCAGATATCAGTGGGGAGGAGAGCAGAGTAATAAAGCCAATTCATAGAAGGGGATTATTATTAGGCCAAGATTGGTAAGGGCCAATGGCCAATTTGGCAAGGACGCCGGGGTTACACCCCTACTCTTTTCTAGAAATGCCCTGCGATTTTTAATTACCACAGAAAGTCTGGACCTCGGTTTTACGTCTCATCCGAAGGGCGGCGCCTGTTTACAGTATAGTGTCCCCGTCACTATACTGGGGCATTAGGACCCACACAGACTGCAGGGTGAGCGCCCCCTGCTGGCCCCACTAACACCTCTTCCAGCAGCAACCTTAGTTTTTCCCAGGAGGTCTCACATCCAGGTACTGACCAGGCTCACACCTGCTTAGCTTCAGTGGGCTGTGTTGTGAGTTGCATTTTAGACTGGAGTTGTTGGCATGCACTCACCGCCTGGGTAGAAAAGCTGCTGTGGGACTCGGCCCCCTCCAGCTCTGTTGATGGTGATGTGTGCTGCACCAGGTGTATGGCTGAATTTATCTAGACCTTTCCTTTTCTGTTTCTCTTATTGCGTTCAGACCATTTACAAGCAGTGCAAGAACGAGACCGAGGCTCACTCTGCTGTGACACTACTGCTGGCCAACCAGACAGCTGGGAACGGCTCCATCTCGCCCACGCCAAGGTCTGCAGCAACACTCCTTGCCTCATCTGTCAGCCAGAGGTGGTATTTACAATGGGAATGAAGGAATGGCTTCTTGAACAATGGAAGCTAGAATGGTATTTCAGCTGCTGGATGGAAGTATTGTATGTGTTACTGGCTCCTTCTTTTTGTGCCAGCAGGTGTTTAGTTGTGCAGCTGGTAAAAGTGATTCCACATAGGAATTTCTCATTTCTCATTTCCACGATTATTCCTTTCCAGTGAAGATGTTTTGTTGGGAGGCACTTAGTTATACAAGGTGTGGTATGAGCACAAGCTACCAAAACCCTGGCTTCTTCCAAGACACAGCTCAGCTGGATGAGATCACACCTGGATGAGATCTTTGGATCAATCAGCTACAAGCAGCTCAACAGGATAAATGGTCCAGATGGCTTCCTTTTGTTGTAACCTTTAAAATGCTCTTATGTACTGTATGAATTATGTATTTTGTTTCCCTGGCCTTGGAAGATGTTTTATTGATTTGTTGATGTTTTTTGTATTCAAAATAAGTCAAATTATATTAGTTTTTAGATTGATGGTCCACAGTGCATAATTCACAGTTAGCTCACCGAGTGCTGCAAATTAGTTCAATCTTTGTTCTTGGAAATGTGGCCAAAGTAAGGAGTCAGCATCTTTACGTTAGAGGCTGAAAATAGGCATCTTTATAGTCTTTCTTGTTCACATTATTAAAAAGGAAGCTGATTATGTATTACATTTCTCAGGTGGTTTGAATTCATTGCAACGGTGCTCAGGTGGTTTGAGTATGTAATAGATTTAAATGAGAATCCTTGCAGAAAATTAAATCTAAATTAAAGGTTGAGTTTTTTATGGTATGTTATGAGTAATTTTAATCTATATATAAACGTGAAAATTGGCAAACTCATTTTGTCTTCATATCTGTGTATCCTGGGTTTTCTTTTTCACAGTATTTTTCTACACCTTGTATTTTATATGATGGTTGTTTAAAACAGAAAAATGATGATGATGATGATGATGGAAGCATCTGTATTTCCTTTTCAAAGTTTACAAAGGAAGGTGTGCACCAAGCCATGGAGCTACATACCGGATGGCATCATGCCCATTTTTTGGCGCGTTGTCTACTGGACGTCCCAGTGCCTGACCTGGTAAGGCCTGTCTTTAGCCTGTATCTACCGTATATCAGTCTGTGTTTGGGTCTCATTTACCTTGTCGGGCCATGGCAATGAGGGGGGACGTGGGGGAGTCGGTGATCAGTGCCAAGTGTGTTCTGGGACAGCAAGAAGGCTTTCATTACACACATTTTCTGTATTTTCCTACCTTGAGTAGATTTGCGTAAACAGGCGTGGTATTTAAAACATTCTTAATGCACTATTAAAAAAAGCAATGTTGAATAAGAGCTGGCAGCTGAAAGGATCCGCTTGTTTCTATGCCTGTAGTTTGCCTGCTAGCTGATCATGGTGAGCCAGGTGTGTTGCACCTCAGGACATACTGCCATGGCACACCTACACAAGTGGCAGTGCTGTCTCGAACACACTGCTTCCCCACTCTGCAGTGTGAGGCTTTTGCAGAAGGCACAGTGATGTTTTTACAGACAGCGTGCATGTAAGCATTTTTATTATTTGTCTGTTTTTCCCCTTTCTGTGACCTTGACCTGCTGTTAAAGCGGTGTCCAGGAGTTACACTGTTTTATTGCCGTCATGGAAATTACAGGCCTTGCTCAGTGAACC